GATACGACAAAAGGATATAATCTTCTGAAATGTATGATTAGTATCTTGATTTATTTTGCGAGGAAAGATCTGTACTTTTAAGGGATGCCTGTCATTCTTAATACGTTCAATTTCGTATAGTACTGTGCAACACCTCTGTTGTGAAATAGTTGCTTCAGGCGCCGCCGCATGGCGCGGCGGGCGGGCGGGCGGCCAGCGCGGAACGCGCATTGGCCCCTACAAACCTAAGTGGATACTTCAAGCATTGTGTAATGCGTGAAGTATCCACTTAGGTTTGTAGGCGCCAGTGAGCCTCTCGCGCTGGCAGCACGCCGCTCCGCTCTATTAGGCTGTAATATTTATACTCGCATAGTCAGCGTTTTTTAACTCGTGATTTTGAAATGTTTGCACACTCTGCATTGATCATTCTCATTCAAATTGATGGAAAAAATATGTATCAATTTATCAAAGGAGAATAATAATAAATTGCGTCTTTTTTAAATATTGGTGGTTCCGTGTCAAATTTAATGATTGCCAAAGCACTTTAATTTTTCTTTCACATTTTGTGCTTTTAATGGTGCTGCAGCGAGGTGTACGCGCAACTAAACGCTCAAAATTTGACGTATTTGACTATAACAGATTGATGTACAAATGGGTTAAAACTAAAGATTGCGTGCTTCTTGGTTTTTTTCCCTCTTTAATTCATTTTTGCAGTTTCTGTCGGCACAACTGCGGTTCATTGAGATTAATATCGCTTGGAGAAGGTTTTACAAATATTTGTCACTTTTTAAAAATATAAATATTTTCAAAATGAAGTAATAATTTCGTAAAGAAAAAATTAAAAAAATAAGAAAAAGTACCTATACATATATGAGGTATATTGTACACCGAATATTTAAAGGATAGAAATAAAACCAAATATTTACTAATGACAATTTAAAAAGATGATTCAAAAGGAGAAAGTAATAACCTTTCATTTAGAAAATGAGCAACCATAACAACACCTCCTTCTCTCTCAATTTCTCATTTCCATATTGTAAATATAATTTCACATTCCGACTAAAATATAACGCTTGGACGAATCGGACTACATTTTGCAATTAGGAACTGTAAATTCCGGCCCGGTTTAAAAAACAACGTGTTTGCCATTAGTTTCCCTATGAACATAATTGTTTCTTCAGATGAGCCAGAATTTATAGGTCCAAATTGCAAAATGCAGTCCAAGTCACTGTTGCTTATTTTATGTGTGGGCGTAAACTACCGGACAAAAAATCGTTGACAAAATGTCCTGAAACCTTGTCTATAGCTTTGTCTATAGATTTCAATAATCGGCCCGCTGGTATTGGGACTTCCTGATTTCCCTTCGGCTCTAACTCGGGCGATTGGAAGTTAATAATCATTATATTCGTTGCAGTGCCCGCCGAAATGGAAAAGATCGTTCGACTGTTCCTGTGGATCTTCATCGTCATGTACACCCTCTCGGACTTGTGGCCCCAGTCCCTCGTGTCCTGCCAGAACCCGCAGTTTCCCGCAAATCCCGGCTCTGTGAACGGGACGGGAATGCAACCGCAGAACTCGACGGGGGTCCAACCGCAGAACACTACCGGCCTAGCAGGAGACGACGACGCTACCAATGGCACCACACCCGCACCGCCCTCCACGCCTACGCCTCCGTTTGGACGCTGAAATGACCTGGGGGGGGGGGGGGTGGTCTTGGCGATAACGCCTGAACCGATCACGAGTTTCCAAATTTGCACGCTTAAACTACGGTTCGAAACAATACTTTCGGATAAAATTTTAGAGTCGAATAAAAAAGTTTAAGCTCACACGCTTCATTGTGAGGCTGAGATAATTTTATTACAGCCCGCACGGTTTGACACTGCTTTTGTGCTGATATAGCAACACTTGGCAAAGAGAGAAAAAAGGAGGTGTTTGCATTTCGGGCATCATGGAATTTTTTGATGATTTGATGACGTAGGTCGGTACAGCGACGTCCCCTTCACGCTAAACGTAGCTGTACCGACCTACGTCATCAAATCATCAAAAAATTCCAAGATGCCCGAAATGCAAGGTGGGTACGTATCAGTACAGTAGGACACGGAAAGCTATTGGACCGCGTTTAGCAGAAAGGAACCAAGCCACATCAGCTGTTGCCTTTGACTGGGCAATTTAATTTTTTACGAGAGAACGTTCGGACGGATTCCTTTGAAAATTTTAAGGGATTTGCTTCTTACTACAAATATGCAAAATATTCACTGGAATTTGCGCGAAGATCCGCACAACCGTCTACATGAAAAACAATTAAAAAGCCCAATTAAAGAGGCTTGGTTCCTTTCTGCTTAACACTGTCCATTTTATCCCTAGAAAAAACTTCACTGAAACTATACAAATTAACTTCGATTTGATTGTTCGTCTTGAAGGGACTTATAAATAAAGGTCCCCCTCCTTTTCCCATCCAAGAATCACAGCTTCTTGCTCTCGTTTTAAAAGTTCCCGATTTCTCGGAACAAACTTGTTAAAAGGTCAAAAACACACTGAATTTCTGGCCGGTGAATCGAAGTATCGGCAAGTTGTGAAACTCGATTACGACGCATTCCGAGAGTTGAAGCTCCTGGGAGTTGTGGATAAGTTCGTTCCTGGAAAACTGATCGGTCACAGTTATTTATGAGGAAAGAAGAGCGTTCTCTGTACTCTCCCGATTCTATTTCTGCACTCAAGGATTTCTGGCGACCGTGATAACAAAAACTTTGCCTCGCATTTTAAAAATCACCTGTTATTTTTGCCAGAAATGACTGAAAATCCTCACTCTATAATATGTAACCGTTACATCTGCAGAGAAGTCCTCCTGTTCTCCGTCACCACCTTCATAAGCGTAACAAAATTAAAAGTCGGCCCCTACGAACTATTTTCATAGTCGCTCCTTAATGACCTTCATTCCTTAGGATGGTGCCATCTGCTTTACAATTGCATTGAGATTAAAGGAGGTAAGCCGTCCTTCAATAAAGCTTCATAAACAGGACAATTTTTAAGAGCCTGAGTAATTTCAAGAGTATAACTTCGCAAGGGATTAAAATTATTTTCCAGTGCAAAAAAGAAAAAGAAAAACCCATTCTGGAAAGGCAATAAGGGCGACTTAACAATGTTTCCCTGACATTTCTAAGTTTTTCCTGACTTTAAAATTCCCTGATCAGGGTGTCTACTAGAACAAGCTGGCCAAAAATCAGTACTTGCACAGTACTTTTTCTGTACGTTCCCAAGAAATTTAGTACCTCCTCAACGGAAAAATTCATTACTTTTTCAGCACCTCACTTTAGCGCAAGTCGAAAAATTTCAAAAATTTGAATATCTCGCTCAAACCATGACAAAAATGTCAAAAAAAAAAAAAAAAATGAAACAAATTCCGGACCTTCTGGTGGAATTTTCGCACTTTTTCAGTACTTCCAGACCGCCCTTAAAAAATCAGTACCATTTCCAGACTTTCCGGAAATTCTAGACTTGTAGACACCCTGCTGGCATTTCCGGGTTTTTCAAGTATTCCCTGACTGCGGCAACCCTGGCTCTGTTATAAAAACACTTCTATTTTCAATTAAAAGAAACAATTCCATTGCACAGCAAACGGCGAGTCCCGATGCATGGGAACCCACTCACGAACCGGTTTCGAGAAAAAATTGCGTTGCCTTTTCGGGCGAATTTAAGGACCCCAACGGAGGCGCCGGATGCGAAGAGGGAATCCAGTGGTAACGAGGCAGTAAATCTGCGGAGCGAATGGGCGGGGGACGGGGGGTGTTTGTAATTCCGTTTGACGAGCCGTGAATGAGGCTGGAAATTAGCCTATAAAATCAAAACGAATTAGGCCGATCGACGGTGGCAGCGGGGCCAGGGCCCGGGCGCGCGGTGAGAATCCAATATCGATTTCCAGGACGACCGTGACACGCAACTGGATGTATTTCTGTCAAACGGAACTATGTGCATTAACACATGAGCCCTCATACCCATTAGAATACATGCATAACAGGGCTCACCTCATAATGCGCATAGTTCCGTTAGATAGAAATACGTCCAATTGACGCCGATTCCGCGCCCAGCTCCAGGAGTCATGATCTTACGACGCGCGCGAGCAGCCACCAGATCGTGACGCAAATTCCGCGAAAGAGTGTTACTACATTTGAAAGTTGCGAAATTTTTGCAAGCAAATTTTACCTTCATTACTCAGCAGGGATGCCGCAGAATTTAGGAGATGAAGTTCCCTGACATTTCTCTGATTTCCCAGAAACATAATTAGCAATAGTTTTCCGGCAAATTTTTTGTTCGAAACATCAAACATTTTCTAGAAAGCAAATGAAGGTGATTCAAGGACTTTTTTCTGACAATTCCCTGATTTCCCAGAGACATAATAGCAACAGTTTTTGGGCAAATTTTTTGTTCGAAACATCAAACCTTTTCTAGAAAGCAAATGAAGGTGATTCAAGGACTTTTCCCTGACATTTACAGGTTTTTCCTGACCTTTCCCGGTATTCCCTGACTAGGGCAACCCTGTAATACTGCCGTGCAGAGGAAAAACACCGTATGAACCTTCAAAAAATTTTATTTGTAATCATATCTAAAGTACCTGAAAATTTCAAGGGAAAATATTCATAACATTCATAATATATGTTCATACATATATATTCTATATTTTCATAATATTTTTGAGGTTTGGCACCTCTTGAATGTAAAAACGAAGTTTTTCTTTCGCTTGGCAGCGGTTAGATCATTGACTATGCAGTGTAATATGGAAGATTTCCGCGCCGGACAACGAAAATAAGGCTGATCGAAGCCACCAAAAACTGATAAAACTGAATAAAAACTAAAACAATGTTATTTCAAGCTCCATTTGTGACCAGAAAGCACAAGCTTGGCCAATTTTCTGTTGTATTTTTAAAACATACAGTCATTTAATTGAAGATACCCACAAATCACCTAAAGTTGTATTATGAAACATTCAAAGGAAAAGAATCGATTGAAGTCTGATTGAGACTCACCTCGTATACACCTGATGTAGTTATTGAATTCTTTCTGCAATTTGTTCGCCGCATTTTGCTGCCTCGTGAAATTTTGTAGATGCTCATCGAAGATATCGTCCGCTGTTCGATCTACCTTCCCGAGATTTTGTAGTAACTGAAACACAAACAAAAAATAAGTTACCTTAGTTTCACTTCATACATGTTCTACCACACAGTAAGTACCATGAATTTATCAGATTCATTTTTACAAAAATTGTATGTAAATAAAAACGCGCTTTAAGTCACAACTGGCCTAAAAATTGTAACTACACTATGTTGTAGGTTAGTTGGTGTATTCTCCTAGGGACTAGAAAACCCGCGTAAGAGATTTTCGCCTTGAAGATCTACGGCAAGCCTGAAAGCATATTGCTCTTAGAAGTTATCGGTGTGGAATGCTGGATGCGGATAGTTAGCTTAAGCGTGAAAAACGGTCCATTCATTGACATTGAATGAAGCGAAAGTAACTTGATACAGAGACGCAAACGCACCGATGAGCATTCGCATCACGCACTTTGGTTAGGTCAAGTAGGTAGAACCTGATCCGGGGGAAAGTTTCTTAATCTTCGGCTAATCCATTTCTGTAATCTTTTACGGTCCACGATCACCTTCTGACAAAATAAAACGTCACAAAAGCCGGCCATTGACTGATAATATGTTCAAAGCAGATGTCAAAGTTATCTGACGGACGATAATATTCACTTGTTCGCGTTGAAGTGAATGCAAGAGGTGAGTGTGCTCGGCTCACGAGCAGGGCAGTGTTGCCCTTACGTATGAAGAGAGTAACTATTTTTTTTTAGTGTATGAGCTTATAAGTACCTATAAAAACAAGCTTTTTATTACAATATCTCAACAATTTCGTCCTATCTTTCTCCTCTCAAAAGGAAACTTGCAAATGATTTTGCATAACTGTCACACGGCATTATTTTCAATTATCAAGTTGAAGAAAAATGAAGTGCAGAATTTTAAGAAACTGATTGGGGTTTTCATTAGGACCTGAAAAAGTATGAAAAACGCAATTTCGCGAGCAGAAATCTGTGTTGTCCTCCTCTCCAAACCATCAAGACCAAGACGTGATCATTACAGTTAGATGGATGCAACTATTCGTGTTCGACGGATGTCCGTGTTGCATGTAGAAAAAATTGTAGGCGCTCTGTCTTTCCTCATGAGAACATCTGGATCCAACTATTCGTAAGCCATGGATGCCCGTTTTGCATACGCAAAAAATTGAAGGGGCACTGACCGTCCTTGCTTTAGCATCTGCCAGGCACAGCATTAAAAGTCGAAAACACAGTCTTAAATACACCACAAAGAGGCCGCATCGCCAATTTTGAAAAAAATCACCCTATTATTGCTACGTGCAGATTTACCACGCATTTAGAGTTACAAATGGCGACAGGGCGAGTGAAAATAGTCGAAGGAAGCCCAAAGCGGCATCAGGAAAGAATTACGGATCACTCGTAGGGCCTCTGTCAGTAAACGAGCCGTAACCGTGTTTTACTTGACCCTTTAAATCCAGTTTGTTGACGACACTTCGGAAGTGCGGACGATACTTGCAGTTTACGTTCGACGAAAAGACACGACAGAACAATGTTTTTAAGATGAGTTCTGAACGCCTCTGCAGCGGATCGATCATCGCTCTAATTTTTACTGCTCTCGAGCGACAGAACGCCGAAAGCCTATCGTAATTTCTTACTTCTGAAAAGGCTCGCAAGGCTGAAACCTTTGCAATTTCGAGTCATAGGCAGGGCCAGAAATTTTTATAGGGGGTGTCGACGGTCAAAATTTTCTCATGGGAGCGTCCAGGCAGAGCTTGTCTCTAGCATCCTTTCATACTTATTATTTTATGTTTGAAATTTCAAAACAGCGACCTAAGAATGCGTTTGTGAGCACTTGTGTGTCTCCTCTACATTCGGTGTTTTCCAAGCATGTTCCTTGTGGTCTTTCATCGCGTGTTCCACGGTGGCAAGTTGTTTATGCTTACAAAATTCCCTGATTTTTTCCTTGACTTTTCAGGAATATTGAACTATAATATTTTTTATTTTCCAGACTTTTCCATATTTTATTACATAATTTCTTATATAGATTCACAAACGCGATACTTCCTGAGATTGAGAAAATGAAATTTCTCGACCAGAAGAAAAAATTTCGAAATTCCGCAGTAGAATTCCCAGACCTCTTTTCAAAATCTTGTCACACTGTTTATCATTGGTGGAACCAGAAAAATGGCGACATTGTTTTTCTCCATTTAAACCTAGGGAAATGTCTCGACTCTTGAAGGGGTTAGGTGCTCCTACAAGAATCGATTTTAACATAGGTTTAAAAGAGGGGAATCTGGTGTTACCAAATTGCTGGATCCGCCTCAGTTACTAATTTATTTAACTGGGCTGCTTCTTGGCTGGGAGAATGCATAGAGCTAAACCGTCTGATACCCACTCCCATTCTTCTTGTCAGTATGACATAAGTTTGGTTCCGATTTTTGCGGCGCCTGTCTCGCCGCTTGAGAACTATCGGAACTAGTCGGCCAATAAATCGATGCGAGCAATTTAACATCTCAACACAAACGATCTATCCACTTTTCAGCGTGCTTTCTCGGACGCCGCGCGGCGGTATGGCACGCGCCGGGCTCGCCGGGGACCGTGCCAGCTGTCAAGGACTCAACGCCGCGCCGAGATAACAGTAAGTTATCATTGGGAGAGCATGAATCGTTCGGCTCGACGGAGCGCCATCTGGTCTGGTCGGGACGTCTGGCGTCAACGTACCCCGAGCGCTACACCCACACTACAGGGCGCGGCAGAAGTTACCCTTAAGGTGGATCTTCAGCTTTCGAGCGGTGCATTCCAAGTACAATCGATGAATTTCAAATGTTAACCATTTTGATGGATTATTTTGGGAAAATCAAAATGTCAGTTTGGAGGCCAATAACTGAGGCATTTTCGGGCCGAAAGTCATCTTCCAAAATTTTCAAACAAAGTCTGACAGGGGTGCAGAATGTTCTCGAGCACGTGATATGATCGCGCGGCCGCTCGCGTGAGCAGTGGGGAAGGTTTTTTTTGCAGCTTTTGGGGAAGAAGACATTTAAGTGTGCTGCTTTTGGCGAAGGAAACATTGCAGGGAGCTGTTTCATGTGCTGGAAGTCTTCCAAACGCGCTTTTTTTGGAGAAGGAAACTGTCGAGGCGTTTTATGTTTACATGAATAGCAAAACATCAAATTTTGGGGGAGCCAAATCATAAATTTGGGAAAGTTAAGAACTTTTTACACCCCTGTCAAAAGTACTGTTTTCATTCTGAAACCGGTGAAATCCATCAATATCAATCAAATCCATCAATATCGATGATTGATTGGAAACAGAACGTACTTGTGACCTTGATGAAAGACTTTGGAAGATCATTTTTGGCACGAACATTCGTTAAGGATTCATCTACAGACTGAAATTTCGGTTTTCCCAAAATGATCTGGTATAATAAATCGGTGCACTTAAGGATTGTAGAGTACCTTAGTAAAGGGAACACGGCCACTGAGTCTAAGAAATTCCCAGATGGATCCCGTTTTCCCTGGGGTTTTCCAGGTCCTACACGCTGTTCGCTAATCTTGCCTGAAACAGGAAGTAACAAGCCCGATTTCTAGACTTGTATACAATTTAGAGGCACCCTGTGGTTCTCACTCGTACAAATTGCCTCTCTTCCGATACATTCACTTTGCCAAATTCATCGAACACAAGATTTACGCGTTGAAGGCGTAATTACGGCGAACTAAGAGTTGAAACTTGCGAGCTTTCACATTCCGCGGGATCGTTATTTTTTTACAAGCTCATCAATTAATTTTAGCTTCGGCGCTGGCGCTGTGGCATGTTGAGGGAGTCTTAAGAGCTTATAGCTTTCCGAACGTTCAGTGCTCTCGTTGAATGATGACCGAATTTCTGCACGTTTCTCGGCAACTTATAACGTCGTTTCACGGACGAAGGAACGTATTTTTTCTACGATTTTTCATGATTTTTCACAGAAGAGGTTCCCGGCTGAAACCCCGGGATTCCCTTTCATTTTTCTCGAGATTCTCATACTAGGAATTTAGGACTCATGTCATGACTTGGATGACAATATTTTTCATTGGAATTTCCAGACATTGTAGATCCAATTACGAGCAAAATTTCCTCGATTAGAAGAAAAATACTCGCAAATTTCACCGAGAATTCCTGATTCTTCAATGAAATTTTGTCCACGTCTGAAAGTGTATAGCGATTTTCCTTAGTACGGTACAGCTGTAATATTAAAAGCATTTAGAAACTATTTCCTTCCAAAGTATTTTCATACACGAGTAGTTCGAAACTCAAGAAAGCAAATAGAGATACCTAACTTAAAGATTTTTCCCTGGCATTTCCCAGTTTTTCCCTGAAATTCTTCGGTTTTTCCGGTATTCACTGACTGTGGCAACCCTGTTACTTGGACCAGAAACTTCGCTGTGCCGTGCACCGTGTAAATCGACATTTTTTTCCCCTGCGATGAGTCGCCTTTAACCTTTTTTCGATGGGTTCTCGGTGACCTTTCATTCCAGAGCTCGTCTCCTGTTGGCTCATCGGATGCCGCGCTTCTGCCCGCAGCGAGCATGGATCCGACTTTTCGAATTGGCACGAGCGGTTAGGCAACCGCGAGAGCACGACTCGGGGTGCAAGGACGGCGACGCGTCGAAAGGGAAAGGGAAAGGTGAATGAAATGTGGGAGGAACGTGAGTTGATTACTCTCGTCCTATGAAAGTATACCGTAAAAGCCATCAGCCATTGCCAAATTTCCTTCGATGAATCATGAGTTTCCTGGAAAATTTATGAATATTTCTCTTCCAATTTTTTACGGGATTTCGTTCGTTATTTGATTTCAAAGCTCTGAAATTTTCAAGGAAAAATATTTATAACTTTTCCCAAAAGTAATATTTTCTGAGAGAAAATTTGGCAACATTTGAATGATCATACGACGTTTTTATATGGCAGGGCAGATTACCTGTACCACGAACTACGACTAGACCGTCTCCGGAGTAGATACGCCGGCTCCCTACGATCGCCGTGAACTTCAACAACCATAACCTCAGACACAACATTTTTGAGACCTCACTGCGCTGGCGCTAGCATGCCCCCTGGCCAGCCTTTTAACGAAATGATTTTCCAGCTTCTATCTTACAAATAAATTTGCGTTACGTCTGCGAGATCATTTTCAAAACTGTAAACTTTGAACAGCCTTGCTGAAAAAAAAAATTATTAGGCCCCTGATGGACACATGCAACCAAAAAGAAAAACATTGCAAAATAGGCAAGAATTCTTGTTAGTTTCGAAATGTGCCCGAGTCCAAAGTTAAAACCCCTCATATCGTACTATTCTTATTGTGACTTTTAAACGGCTTTTTGTGTGGAATATGTGCACTTTGTGTATCTGGAGGCTCCTAAGCACACAAAAACTACCGATCGGCTGATCATTTTACGAGACTTGGGGTCAGTCACTTCTGACTTTTAAACGTTTTTTTGTGTGGAAGATGTGCACTTTGTGTATCTAGAGGCTCCTCATCACACAAAAACGACCGATCGTTTCACGCGACTCGGGATACCTCAATTCTTGTGACTTTAAAACGGCTGTTTGTGTGGAATATGTGCACTTTGTGTATCTGGAGGCTCCTAAGCACACGAAAACGACCGATCGGCTGATCGTTTCACGCGACTCGGGATCCCTCAATTTTTGTGACTTTTAAACGTTTTTTTGTGTGGAATATGTGCACTTTGTGCATCTGGAGGCTCCTAAGCACATAAAATCGACCGATCGGCTGATCGTTTCACGCAACTCGGGGTCAGTCACTTGTGACTTTTAGACCGCTGTTTGTGTGGAATATGTGCACTTTGCGTATCTGGAGGCTCCTAAGCACATACAATCGACCGACCGGCTGATCGTTTCACGTGAATTGGGATCAGTCACTTCTGACTTTTGAACGTTTTTTTGTGTGGAAGATGTGCACTTTGTGTATCTGGAGGCTCCTAAGGACACAAAAACGACCGATCGGCCGATCATTTCATGTGACTCGGGATCTCTCAATTAATTAATTAAAGGGCCAAATGGTTCCATACTGAAAGACGCTTCTTCGGAACTGAAAAACGTGCGTCGAGAACATTTCTCAATCACCGAAAAATTTGGACTAAACAGAGGTTTCCCCGTTTTTCGAATATATTTTTTTCCCCTTCCAAATTAGGGCATATTTCGAAACAAGTCACTCATTCCCTCTCCGGATGAGAGAATCTAACCTCGACGTGAAAAAAGGCGACCCGCTAAACTTGAATTTCGATCCGCCGAACGAAAACGTAGCTGCACACTTGTAGGGGCTCTACCCTTCCTCCTCTGACGTAAGCGCGTACCTCAATTCCCACTTGAACCCTACCCTCCGTATGACCATCTATTTTCCAGGGCTCATATGGAAATACAGATACGCCCTTGCGTCAGAGGAGACGCTATGTGTGACAACGGATGCCCTTCGGCCTTCCACATCCTCCTATTGTCGTATCCGCGGTAAATCTGCGATGCGTGCGCTACGTTAGAACCCCCCTCCCCCACTCTTCTCGACTCCCCCGCGCCCACGAGAAGGGGACACGATGGGAACAGCTGGACGATGCACGCGCGGAAGCGTGACCGGTGCTTTACCAGGCTAAGAAAAAACACCGTATGAACAGCCAGGCGTTGCCAAATTTATCCGTAGAAAATATTCTTTTTTGAAGAGAGTTTTAAATATTTTTTTTTTCAAAATTTCAGATACTTTAGATTAAATTGCGGGGAGAGTTTTGGGGAAAATTTGACAAAAATAGTACATAAATTCTCGGTATATTTCAGTTTTTATAAGCGGAAATCTGGCAACATATAAATGAACATACGGCGTTCTTCCTAAGCACGGCGTTGCTGATGACGGTTGCTAGCGTAACGCGCAGTATCAACGAATTACGCCTTTTCGTCATCGTTCCTTTTCGTTCGGTTTTTAAAGTTGCATGAAGGTCGCTATGACTCCGAGCAAGTTTGACCTGTGTTTGGATCTTCTACTGGAGTCTAAATCCAAAGTATGGAGTATTGAATCCAAATTCATCGAAGCAGTTCTGACATTCAATCCGGCTTCTTGTCTTACTTTCAACGAGACACAGGACACTGGACACATTCAGTAGATTGTTCTACGTATAGCGAAAGGGACGGAGCTCAGATGCTCCTTAATTTTGATTTCGCTTTGATGGAACTTTGTTAAAAATTTTGCGCCAGCAGACACCAACATCAGAGGCCGTTAATAAATAACGTCGAACACTCATTGTAAGTCATTTTTCAGACGAAGGAACGTAAACTACATTTTCAACTTTGCGTTTCTACTTGCAAATTAGATTTTTACTGGAAAACTATTGGTCATTTCCGACTGAAAATTTAAATGATTTTTCTTCTGATTGTGCGCAAAAATCATGAACATTATAGGCAGGAATCACAGTCATATTCTTGTAAAAAATAGAATTGATTGACTTAATTTTACAAAACTGGAACAGAGTTGCGTTCTTTCGTCCAGAAAAAGACGCCTTTTCCCGATCTGTTAACCTCACCCTCTACGGCCTCCCCACCCTCGTTAGGTGCCTTCCAGGCTCTGCCCACTAAGAAAGTTCCCAACGTCGGGTTCGACTTTTTATTATTCTACTGACGACTAGAACACAACCCTGTTTGTCAAGCTCTCAAGTGTCTAGCGCACACACACCGATAGATCAAACTAATAAAAACAAAAACTGCAATAAAAACATTCAATCATCTTCGAAAGAAAAGAGCTGGCTTCATACCCATCGCTTGGGCGGTCGCCTAGGTTGTAGAAATACAGGACAATAAATTCGACTGCAGGCTATTCATTAAACTTTCTTCGTGGGCAGATTCCTCATGCAATTTGGGCTTGAAGTCTGGAGACAAGACTGCCATGCTAAGAAGAAACGCCATATGAACATTCGAGACTTGCCAAATTTCCTCTTGGAAAATAGTTATTTTGGAAAAAAGTTATGGAAATTTTACCTTGAAATTTTCAGGAACTTTAGGCGAAATTGCGAACTAAATTATCTGAAAAATTGGAGGAAAAATATTTACAAATTTTCCAGAAAATTCGCGATTTACCAAAGGAAATTTGGCAACGGCTGAAGGCTCATACGGGGTTTTTCCTTAGCACGGCAGAGGAGCTCCCCGCTCGGCTTTTCTCAGGCGGTCCTGTCCCGCGCGCGAGGATGCGCCCGATGACCCATTTCCAGGATGCGAGTGGTGGATGTGGAGTGTGGAGTGGAGCGAGACTTACGTAACCGAATTGCGGCCGCCGCGGCGGGGAGTGCAGTCGCAATTGATAAAATTGCATTCGCGCATTTGCATAAGCGCAGCGGCGAGTGGGGAGGTGGGGAGGATCCACTACCACGTTCATTGTTCTCGTTGGACCATTATGATTCACAGAAGGGTTGCCGCACTTACACCCAACACGAGTTGATGACCAAAGGAAAAAAAGGGAGGGCGAACCGGTGAATGACACGAAATCCATGTGATTAAGTTCAGCAAAATATCCCTTACGGTGGAGGAAAAAATAAAATAAGTATATCTCTGATCGGAGGGATTAATTGGACCGCGTTAAGAAGAAAGAAACTAAACCACACAGTGGAGTGGCGTGAATGATCAACTATCGATATTTCCACACGTGAATCCGTGGTAGAGAATCGATTATTGAGAAGTCCGTTACGAACACCCTGTTAATCGATCCTTTTCCATAGGTATAAATGATAGATCAATCGATTCATCGCAAAGCACGCCACGCCACTGAAGCCACATCAGCTATTGCCACATTGAATTGAGCAATTTAATTTTTTACGTGAAGACGGTTGAGCGATTTTTTATTTTTTGCAAATTTAAGTGACTTATCTGCGTGTTGCAAAGCGGATTCCTTACGATTTTCAAAGAAATCCACACAAACGTGCTCGTGTAAAAAATTAAAGGTTCCGATTAAATTTGACAAAAGATGATGTAGCTTGGTTCCTTTCTGCTAAACGCAGTCCACTCCTGCATCATTTCGTCGTTTTCCGAACGAAGGAACATAACTCCATAACAAGGTTACAAAACTGCCTCGCAATCAGATGATTCAATTTTTTTACGGGAATGTATCGAGGCAATTTTTGTCTAAAATATGTATGATCTTTGCATGGAATCAGCAGAAAAAAACAGGGACATTTATAATTAGAGGTGACCAAGATTCTCCCAGTAAAAATGCAATTTGCGAGGTGAACTGCAGCAAGATTGAAATGTAGTTACGTTTTGTCGTGCGGGGAACAAGAATTTGGTGCAAAAAACACCCAAAAATTAAAAAAAGTTATCCTTCGACAACAATTCTAACTCTGAGGGCAAAAAGGAGGAAATCAGCAAAAAAAGGTATGACAATTTGCCGCCGCTGATGCTACCCTTCAAAATGATTCAATTTGAAAGCTCATAACATCATTAATAATTTGTATCATGAAACTAACCGAATGCTTTTGAGCGTATCGGAAAGCGTTTATTAGCATCTGAAACAAAAAATCGATATATTTGACCCCAAAGCGGTTTTACACTGTACTGAACAATCGGAGAGGTCGGAATTGGCAATGCAATCTCAGTAATGCGCCGAAGGTGTGCAGGAAATGAAGAGACTGTAAAAATTACATAGCGATTATTAACAGCTCAAATGACTCCGATAAGCTCTAATAACTTCGATAACCGCAGAAAATTCCGACGGAATTTCCAGGATTATCGGTTTCGAGCGATTAGGCGCTTTTTAGCACGATGTATTTGTTCCCTCTTCTTGGTGCAATCATGCGTACCGTTATGTTCCACGATGAGACCATTCACTAATACCGATTATCATCAATTAAAGCTTCAAAGTAGCATGCTGAATTACTTATTTATTATTTATTTATTAATGTTTTTTTCTTATCGAGTACGGACTCTCATGTAGAAGATAAAAAAAAGCCGAAGAGATTTTGGAAATAAACAATAAAACGACTTTACAATTCCGGGAGAAACGACATGAAAAATTACGTTCCTTTTAATTCGT